GGACCCTAATTGTGGGAATAAGAACCAATTAGTGATTTAAATATTATGTTTTAAGTCACTTAAACTAGTCTCGTATTGTTTAAGCCATTACTTAACTATGGTGCGCTATTGGTTGCATCGGAGTGCCCGGGTGCAGAAGCTGGTTGCGCCTCACGTGCAGAAGCTTTTCCCGTTTCACAAACCAGAGCTAGAAGGTGTCTCTCCAGTTAACGCCTCATATAGTGGAAAAGTTGTCAAAGCTCCCTTTGATCTTGCGATTGGCAAGGTTGTCCCCTTTGGTCAGAAAATCTCAGCATCGAGAAAGGACATAATAAAAGTCAAAATACACAAATTATGTCTTAATAAATTCCTCCTCAGGGTTCGTCTCTATTTTTTAGCATAGTCTGTAGTACTTTTACCAGACGCGAACGTACTGGGTGCACAGAGGGGACGCGGACGTCGATATCGGGGACATTGTGTTGGTGGAGCGCTGTGACCCCCCAGTGGCATTTAATGCTGTTTACAAGCTCAAAAAAGTAGTCTTCAACGTCGGAAACATCACCGATCCCATGAGTGGCCTAAGATGCGAGGGTCCCGACTTCCCCGCGGACGTGATGCAGCAATGGCTCGACGAGCATCAACACAAACCCCGGACCTCGCACCGCTACACATTGCCTGTCTAATTATGTCAATAAACGTGTGTCCTTTTAGATTCTGCTATCTCCCACCTGTGTTTGGGAATGATTGATCAGACCTCCAACCGTTGCATGATCCCAATCACTGAGCGCGCACGGATGCAGAACCAGCTATTAGACATGGTAAATATGTTCTTGGTGGCTTCCTACTCGTAGCTAGGCCTCACATAAATAAGCTGCAACGGTCAGTTATTGAAAGTAGCAGCCTGGTTCCTAATGAACCGTTAGCACATCGGTAACCTCGATTTCGCCACTGATAGTTGAAACAAAGCCCTTGACTAGTCACGTTACTCGATAGGTAGGAAGTAAGGCGAGGACGAATGATCACAACATTCTAGTCACAGAGTATAACAGGATCAAGTCATCCGGTTGGCTTTCGCAGCCCCTTCTCCTTTAGTAGATTTTTCTTGACCTCTTGGCTCCATTTGACAGCTGCAGCCTGTTGCTCCTCCAATCTGTTACGCGAATCATTCAGCTCGGCGGAAAGCATGACCACTTGCTTCTGAAAACAAAGAGGAAACAAACACAACCATAGGCTTTGAAAAAGGGTTTCCTATTATGGCGCAAAGTTCCCGATTAACCAACTGCAACTGGATGCAAACAAGCGGTCGGTGACTTTGTGGGTGGGTAACTGGTGAATGAGAATAATTTTGCAGGTCATGGGAGGTGGGAGCGTACCGCCGTTCCGTATTGGTCAACAAGCCTTCTTTTCTGTCCAAGAGTCGTTATTCTGGGAATCCGACCGTCTAAAAGCATTCTAAAAAATCAGGTTTACCCAAGAATGAATAGTCGGGTAAATCCGTTAATGGACCCCATTCATTGTTCCCCGCAGGGAGGCCACGACTAATTTGGCGACAATAAAAGATTTAAATTAAACATGTACCGGGCACGAAAGATACCTCCGACATACCGTCTAGTGGATTTAAGTGCAAAATTAAGAATAGTTGCATTTACAGCTCCCCACAGCATCGGCATCACTACCGACAAAAGACACAGCGCACACACCGACCAATTTGAAAAGCTGTAATATCTATCAGTAACTGTAAACCCATGCAACATATATTGTTTAATTTTCTGGGCATCTCAGTCGTGATATGTGGTAAGATAACAAGGAAGGCATAGAAAAAAATCTCAAAATGATAATTTTGGATTTGAAGATTTTTGCAATGAAGCATGATTGGCTTCCTTGATCTCAGGAATCTAGAGGAAAAATGTTATGCTGTTGTGCCTAGAGTAGCTGTAGACCAACCTAATGCGCCAACCATCGCTGCGCAGACAGTACTCTACAAAACC